GGAATAAAATACTAGATGATTATTACTTTGATATATTCTACGGTATGACGTTCTAGAACATATTTGTCCGGGACATCTGACAGGGAAAATCATTCTACGGCAATCGTATATTATTACTTAATCACCTCTCCAACATGTCAACTATGGCGATTGATCTTTTTGATATGTGACGTCTGTTCGTATTCAATTGAAATAAACAGGAAGTAGTTACACCACCATTATCGACATTAACAACGTTGTCATAGCGAACGGAAACATTAAAATGGTATACGTTACAGCTAGGGATTCAAAATTACAACACCCATAGAAACAAGACGGTATTGACAAGAATACATTTCTAGTTTTTTGTGGAATGTATTATTTTCCATTTGTTTGATGAACAACCGGTCTGATTACAGGGTTATTCAGAGCACAAACCTGTCATATTGACCTACGATCACAATATTGATAGCAGGCAAGGTAGTATTCATGAGGAAAGTTTAGCGAAATCTATTGCTAATAGTGAAACCGTCACGTCCTAGTTATGTTTACTGTAGTCGATACACCTTCATGACAACTCAATCGGCCGATTTGCATATTCCACGTAAAGGTCAACACGACAGGTCATGTTGTCCTGACTATAACACGTTGAGCTATTTTAAAGCATTACTGGTTTTGATGCTCGTTTATAAGGTATATAAATATAAACTTTCTATAGTTTACAACAATAATAAAACAAACTATTTCGATATAAGTTCGATATAAACTCTTGTTTGGCCGGATGTTAGCGCCCGGGGGACTGTATGTGGTAGGAAACTGGAGTATCCGACAGATAACCCACGTGGTCGGGCAGGTAATCCCATACCGTTTTACGTTCGATCGGGTCATCAAACTCCGGCCGCATTGGTGAAAGGCGAGCTTGTTGTTGACTGCACCACCTGATCATCCAATACGTATATATTTCTATGTTTTATATTTGTTCAATCAAATTTTTGATATAAAATATCTGTCCCCGCGGTTGACTGCAGCCGTAGAGCTGGATTTCATCATGGCAGGGTTTACATAGAAAACTAGTTGCAGTTTGTATAATTTGATAAAGAGAAACGCTGTGAGCTTGTAACGTTATAAAAGGGTTATTTAGGCACTTTTCACTGTAGTCTACATATGTTTCCGAACACTTAACACATGTATGCTAATTCTGTTGACCTTAAGTAATACTGATGACACCGAATAATGGACGAAACATAAATTTTGTTCAGTAAAATGTTTATCGTGTTTGGCTTTCTGCCTCCTAAAACAAACCTTTTTTTATTAGATGCTTCATTGTTTCATATTTCTAGTGATTAAGTGATTCTTCAAGAGTGATATAAATTCCTTCCCACCAAAATCAAGGGTTTTTTAGTCGTTGTCCTAGCCACTAGCTAGTCCTAGCCGTTACTGTTTCAACATACTCTTCATGGTAAATAGTGCTAATCAATCAATGTTGAAGACTTTATTACAATCAATAAGCAAGGTCCTTATACCACGGTCCCATGCGATACAATCTTGGGGTTAACCGCTTTCGCAGTTAAAACATATGTATCGATTGTCATAAAAGGACGAAAATCAATAGGAAATTTTCTCTGGAAGACAAATGCGAATGACGCCTATATGTATTTGTATATAACTCCGTGATGTATGGTGTGTTTACCGTATAACCGGGGAAGTAAGTGTTGTGGCACGGAATCGACTGATTGAAATCGTCCATTGTGTTATCAACAATGGCATGTTTATCAATAGAAAACAGGTCTAAGTCTAAGTCTCGGGCACTGTTCAACTAATACAATATAAAGGAATTACTGAACATTCTACTTGAGGAAGCACCTTGAATAAACAATATTATAATATTATCATTCCATATTCTTTCGTGTGGACCCTTGGCTATATATGGGACTTATTAATGTCAGGGTGACAGTCACATTAAGGTAATTATATTTCAGGTCACGCTAGCAACAAAAACAATTACACTGAGTACACTATTAATGTAAATTAACCTCTGCCCAGGGGAATACAGGACATGAACGCACAAACACTTAACATAATATTATAATGTAAATTCAATACAGATTACTTTGTTAAAGCCGTTTTAACTTTGAATGCTCCTGTGGTCTTTTTATTAACCTCGGTGGTTATTTGAAGTTCCTTCAGTGAACAACCAAAGCCCTTTTTTGATATTGATGTTTATTGCACATGCTCATGAGATCAATCCAATCAGAAGTCGTAAATGTGTTATAATTGATGCAATAAACTTACTCTTAAATTGATGTTTTTAATTTGGAAAAAAAAAAGCGTGATGGTCTGTATATTTACCCACTTGGATTCAGACCGACCGTATTGAAATTCGTTTGAGTTCGCAATATTTATAAAATAAATAAGTACAGAAGTAAACCTAGCAAAACAGTATGAGGACATATTAGTTTTAACAGCAGTACTAGTCGACAATAAGTTATTGTCAACATGCATATTTCCTTTTTTTTTTTTTTTTTTTTTCAAAACAATAGCATCACCACCGATTCCCTTATAAGGCTATTACGTTCAATATGAGCCAAACAGTTAGTCGGTTACGACAATATGTTTCAGGCTGTATGAAAACAAACATAAAGGCAGCTTTGTCCCTTTAATATTGTTACATTGTCGATAACAACAATTTCGAATTCTCAATTGTTTTTGATAGGATCTAACACTTCAATTTGCAAATGTAACAACGCAACAATACGGGGCACTTCGTCAGCATGGAAATATATTATAAAGTATCTCGGGTCGTGAATTCTGTATGCAGTTTGATACATGATATGTTTCATTTGGCACTTCTATTTTAATTGCATGATAACGATTTTTGAAAAGGCTTTTAGTGAGTTGTGATATTTGCAGGTTAGTCAGTTTTGAACCGACTGCTCTTGATTCTGATTATAAACTGAAGGTTAACCTAATATAATTCTTTAACTAGAATTATGTTCCTTGTATATGTCCTAGTATCCTCAGTTCCTATATGTTTGAACAACAAACAATATATATTTGTATAGACATTATATAAAATTCGACACGTTTTCCGTATAAAGGTAAACATTAATGATATGCTTAGACATTAATCGATAGTTAAGTAAACGAAATAATCATTCAACGCTCGAGAATGGAACAGTTCTATTGGTTCATTTGACCACTAGTTGACGAAATAATCTGTATAATATCTGCAATAGTGACATGATATTAGAGACAGAAAGTCGTCCTAGTACTGTTTTATAGGCAAATACTACAGCACATCTCTAGTATATAGAGATCATAGTACATTACATGAATATATATGATATATGAGAACGTATTATTACTAATATCATAACAACTATTGTAACTATAGATAACCCGATAAATTTCAATACTGTCAATGAGTATATATATTTCAACCGGAAAAGGTTGCTTCTGCAACACTATATGTCATTTATGACGACAATATATTCATACAACGGATTTTGAGTGATAGAGACATGTTTCCGTTTATTGATTTAAGGAAAACATAGTTTTAATGTAAAACTGGGATCTTACTGAATGAGCAAGACTTTGGTCGAAATTTTAAGAAATATAAGATTATTAAAATTATGCATAGATTCAGCCCCCAAAGACAACTTTACCATTGCATCAGCGCTTAAAACGATACGATATACAATGATGTTAACACCCAAATTGATGCAATATTTCATAATATCAAAAGAAAACAAATAAACATCTTCAACTCGCAAGGATTAAAATAATCATAGCTTCAACACAAAATACATCATGCCATACTCGATAGGATGAAATGTACCACACCGTCGATACAAGGGGTACATTTTACTACTTTGTCAACTCAAAAAGATGAAATGTACCACACCGTCGAAACAAGGGGTACATTTTACTACTTTGTCAACCCAAAAAGATGAAATGTACCACACCGTCGATACAAGGGGTACATTTTACTACTTTGTCAACTCAAAAAGATGAAATGTACCACAATATCTACACAAAAAGAGAGCATAAGATTTGGAAGTTAACACGGAAAGTCAATAGTAGGAACCAAGCAAACAGAACGTATTGACCTTATGGACCCCCACACAATTATGAAAATGTATTATGGACCCTTTAAAGCTGTTGCTATGCTTGGTATAACATTTGTTTGCATATGAACCGGATATTAAACTTTTTTCTTTTGTTATTTTAGTTTATTACTTTTTGTACCAACTTTTGTCTTTGTGTATCAACGCTTTTATTGTTCTGTATCATACATTTTATATGAAAGCCGTCAGGGAGTAAAATGAAATACGAACTACAACTGTCGGAAAGAAACATTTACAACTTGAGTTTCAATTGGTGGATTTTTCATGGAACACTATTTAACGATAATCACTTAATTATTTAAAGTCTTTACACAAATATTTCAGAAAACATTTTATTCATCTATGTAAAACCTACCAAAAGAACCATATTATATATTACTTCTGTATTTGACAGGGTATCTATAAACACAACCTATCTCATAGTGAACATAACAATTACCCTGAACATGTAATGCATGCACTAACAGCCTGTCTGTTAAGCCCCAGCTACTTGCTGTCGTAGGCGTCTTTTGTTAAGAATAATTTTGTCCACAACCCCGTTTGCATATACAGAATATTTGTAATCTTTTCATGTTTAACACTGATCAAAGAATATATTACACAAACGGAAAAAAATTCAGTCAAAATATAACGCGTTATCGTCCTGAGAAGCATTTGCTTTGACAATTTCCCACTCAAAATAATACTGTATCTTTCTTTAATCATGACAAAGGTTGTTTTCATATTTGCCTTATAAGCAAATATCTTTTCGTGTATAACAAGTTTCAAAAGACAAAAATCAATCAGTAACGATATAAGCAAAAACACCATAGAGAAGAATGGAACTGCATTACGTCAACCTAACATTAAATGAATGTAAAAACCAGTATTTGTTTTCAGCATAAGACAACCTACCCTCCATTCTTTTGACAGCGAGTTGAGTGACTTGATGATTCCGTCATCCAAGATGTCTTCGGGAGACGTCATCTTAATTTCCTGTGTGTTTCTGCCTCGTCTAAATGTCTTATTTAATACAAAATTTGACCGGTCTGAATTGTTGTATGTTTTCCCAAGATGTCACTCCACTCATATCCTGGACTCCTTAACAGCCAGAATATTTTTTGAAGAATATCTAAGATGTCCTTTTTCACAAAAAGGATTATTCCAGAAATAAAAAGTCCTCGTTTTACAAATGCTGATTCGATACTCTGCGGGTTCCAGAGAATTCTTTTTATCGCAGACGTGACAGGAACTTGTTCCAGAGCTCCTTAAAACCTTTTGATTCTCTAAAGCCTCTAAAGTGCTTCGGATCCAGTGTTTATCAGTCGACGGCTGATGACGCGGATACAAATCACGAGCTTAGAATACGTCCTGCCTGAACGCATTATTCGTCCCTACTGATCGGAATGGATGAGCCGAGAGCTTACTTCTGTACAATGTTATAATATACAGCTATGGGACCGCACCTTTGCTATAATTTTCAGGTAATACACAGATTTAAATCAATAATTTATTCAAAATGTCCGCAAACTCGAGTATATTGGGCATTTCATTTCATTGTTGACACTGGCCTAGGCTTTAGCCGTCAAGCATTGTCACGTGCATGAATCGTTTTATCGATGTACTACAAATCCATAAATACCATTATTTAAGTACCAATTAACTGGACTAGCGTAGCTATGATACTTCCAATGGAACCCGTGTTAGACCCCATACTGCACATGAGTGTCTTAATTCATCAAAATAACATTTAGTAGGAGAGGTCTGATGGACCCCCTAAAACTGTGGAAGGTATAAAACACCCTTATTATATCAACATGTGATGCATTAAGGCTACACTTGGTGCCGTCGCTGAAAATTGGAGCTTCTTCAACAAGAGTATGCTTTACCTTCAACAACTGATACAGTAAGCATACACATGTATGTGCTTAATGTTATTCTTATGCATTAAGACACGTTGATGCATCAGGGGGTTAAGACACCCGTCCATTGTTTCTATACAGACAAACTGTCTATTACAGGAAGCGTTAGGTAGAATTGATCAAGGTTATAATTTTGGTACAGCAAAATGCGACTTAAAGCGTCGGATAAAAAATGCTTCTTCACCGAGACATTTATGTATTTCAAAAAGAGTTCAACTTTAGAAAACCTGCACATATTATTGAAGTGAAAATGTACACAATAATTCCCGAACAAATAAAACTTACCAGACACAAAGTTATTATATATGTACTACCAATTTAAATAGCTATAAGGGATTAAAGCTCTAATATCAAGAATAGTTATATATGGTAGGTGAGAAAACATTTGTGTCATTTTTTTATTGTTTATTTATCTATTGTATAATATGCGAGGATTTGTTTGCGCTTAAGTATTCGTTAGAAGGCATACCCTGATCATTATATTTTATACAATTTTAGAGAGTTTGTGCAAAATATGTCAATTAATAATAAGTGCTCTATTATGGCAGCATACCTTATTTAACAAAATCATGATCTCGTTCGGAAATATCTTTGTCCCTGTATGCTATGAATGTCTAATTTTTATTGTGGTTATTAGTGTGCCTTGTTGCTTCGTTATTCCATTTCTCGCTTTTAGGACATGCTATTAATTGGATTTGTCGGTTGAGTCGTTCCTACCCCTCTCGCCATCTGTTACTCCCACTTTTCACTCTTATTCCACCAGTCACTCCTAATCCTACATTCACTCCTATCCCACTAATAACTTCTATTTCAATGTAACTTCAGTCGCTCATTTTTAGTTTAAAAAAATCAAAGATTTCAACTGTCATAAAATGACATCTCCGTTTGCAATACAATGGGTCCTTAAAACGTAATACATGATATGTTACTGGGAAAAATCTGAAATTTATCGCTCTCTCTCTCTCTCTCTCTCTCTCTCTCTCTCTCTCTCTCTCTGTCATAAAGGCAATATATGTGTACAAGTGTACCATTACATATACTGACGTCAAGTATATCAACTGATGAAAGTAACAGTATATATTAGTCGTGTGAGGTATGAATATATAATATGAAATGTTTGATTGTAATTATACCATGTAAGAATCTTGAATAAAAAAAAAAAAGAGATTACAAACTTAAACTGACATTTCCAATATGGGCGCCTGACAACCATTTTGTTCTTCTAATCAGTCTTAAAATAAACGTAAATAAGACAGATAAAATTAAGAGGTGACAAGCCTTTCCAGAATAATATCGTAAAAACAGACCATTTCCAAGAAGGTAGCCTGTCCATTGTCCTGTTCCTCCGATCGGTATCAAACTGAAGCATGCACAAGTCAGAACAAAGGTGAACCTTTTAATAAAATTTAAGAAACATATATTAAGGCATTCTTCATAAATAGTGACAAAAATATAACACTGCAAAAATCTTATATAGACGCCCAAAAGACGTCTTTAGCTCCCAATCAGTCTCAAAATAAAACATGAACAATTTATGACTTAGGAGAAGGGAAACCTAGTTATGAAATGTGAGAAAGATCTAATTCATCACTTCTTTTTTGATAACAGGAATCATTGAAGGATGAATAAAGACGAGTTCAACACACGTCATCTGATGATATTAAGCCCTGTAAAATTCCCTTTAAGATACAGTATCTATTGAAAAGGAAACAAGAGCTAGTTCAAATTCATATTTTAACTAACCGTATCAGGAATCTCACATAAGATGCAAAAGCTCCGAAATTCCAAACAATTGATCAGATGTCTTTACATGTTTATGGTACCTGTTGCTGTTTATGTCCTGTTAAGTTTATTGTAGACCTATAACGGTAGGAAGTCTATTTCTTCGTGTTCAAACATGTAAGGCTACACTGGGACGGGGAAAATAAGATATCTTTTAGTCAAAGATCTACAAGAAACGTCAGTTTTGCTCTATTATGAATCAGTGCGCTAGACACGATAACTTCCAAGTTTGGACGAGGATGAGCTTTAAAAACTATTTCTACACTATTGTTAAAAGCGTGTGTAACACGTCCACCATGATGCTATTTAGCCAGTAGTAAGCTGGTTATAACAGCTACCAATTTTGTTCAAATGAAGGACATTGACCTTCTCTCAAGAAGAGCTACCAATTTTATTCTAATTAATAAACTCGCCCTGCTATCAAGGTCACAGTGTTCATACATGTTGAAATATTTAAACAACTACTTCCCAATAACCAAAAGGCCCAGGGTGCTGATATATTGCTATTCGCATCCTGGATGAAAGGCTACCAAGTTTGTTCAAATGAAGGACGTTGACCCACTATCAACACCAAATGAGTCAAATGTTTAAAACAATTACTTTTGTAAATTATCTTAATGAATATTTTAATCGTTTTAACTGCAATATTGTTGTGTGTATACTGTGATAATACTTGAATGGGTAATTGCTGTTTTAGCAATATATCAATTCGCTTGATAGTTTAAATGATATATATAAAGTACTATATCTTCACTCTGTGATAATGTTCAAATTGATGGATTTAATCTAGAAAGTGTGATATGTATTACGTAGTACTGTGATAATGGTGTCTCACAGGTCAACACTGGCTGGACATTTTGTATGCATAGTCCTTAAACATTGTAAAAAGTATTTGATGGTACATGCATGTGTTGTAATGTGTGACATGGTAATAATGAATTTATTAAAATATTTATTAAATATTTATTATTACTATTATTAATAATAACCTAAACCATTGGTGGTGACGTTTGGCCTGTAGCCTAATTTAGCCCGATTTTATGTATTTGGAATTGGCCCTCGTTTAAGGATAGTTTTGTGAGATTAATAAGTGGTGAGCGATACAGGCCCGTTTGGCCTCTTCTTCTTTTAAATATTTTTTTTGTTTTATGTATTTATTAATTTACATAATCAATGTTTAAATTTGCAAATGCCACCGGTCAGTCCTTAACATACATAAAATGTAGGCAAATTTATTCATACCAAGGTTTATCGAACGCGATGACGCAGTACATGTCCCGCTAACATTAATATTAATTCAAGCTAGTTCAACTATTAAGTTTAAACAATATTAAAGAACTAAATAAAACGGGGAAATGTGTACATTTGGCATTCAAGAAAAGAAAACAAAAGGAAGGGTTGTTTATGATATTGTTTAATTTAAGCGTAAACACACTCCGTTATGACTCACTCTCCGTTTGTTTGTATATATGGTACATATTTATGTTGTATTTGCAACTTATGAGGCCGCAATGCCTAATGAATAAAGAACGTTGAACATTGAAAAGAAAATTGATGTGGCGTGTGTTTCAGCATCGTGAGAATGAATTGTTTATTTTGTGTGCATTATTCGTTTCTCTGTGGTAAAAATTAGTGTTGGTAATACGGGACGAACAGACACACTTTTCTACGTAGTTAACCATCGAGGTCGAATAAATATATCAAGGATAAGAAAAAATGTAAGTAGAAATAAGTAACGAAAGCAGAGGGACTAATGTTGCTAATAAATCAAATTAAATTGCATTTTTAACAGGCCTAGCGAACTCGGAACCCCTGTTTTTGTTTACACAGGATTTTTTAAAAATAATTGTTGTATAGTAACATAAAAGGGAACGTCGAAATCCTTACTCCTAGCAATCACCTTATAGTGAGCAATCCTTGTTGGTCTTGTTTAAAGTGAATCGAGGTAAATGTATAATGTAGAAAGGTGAATACACCTTATTTCAAAAAATTCAGTAGCTATGAACGTGATATTGTAGGGCTCTACGATATTTATAGATTACTGAGTTTTCAGGAATTGTCGTGAGATCAGTTTTCTCATCGGTAGCACTTTGATAAAATCGAGATGCCATCGCAGGTAGACTCGAGATTTTATCCACGTGCGACCGATGAGAGAATTGTTCGAACGACAAACGCAGAAAATGCTGTTGGATAAATCGTTTATCATCTATATACTACTACCTTATAAGTATCTTCATTTAAAAATGTCACTTCTATATTCAGTGGTCATCGATCGCAAATCCTCCACAATAACGCTTATCTTCACAATAGTTGTTCGTAACTTTACATAAATTCCTTTATGACGGACTTTTTTCTTACGCGGATCCTTTTTATATTGATACTATTTCCGGTCACGGACGTAAACTGGCGTGAGCAGACGTTCTTTTTTGAGAAAATACGTTCCCAAATGCTGGGAAATGAGAAAATCCGTTCAGGGCGTTCTCAACTTATTCTTGAGTATTCTCAAACTGAAAACCCATGATAATGAATTTATCATGATACCATTAGGTGGTATAAAGTAGTATATGGATGATAAATTCGTCTTCTTCTTTTTTAACCGATTGAATATGCCAAAAATCTGTTGGAAGATCCACAGATCTTGTCAACGATATTGTCAACCAGAAATTTAGTCATTCTCACGATTTAATCATCAGTATATTTTGTTGTTG